CTTATAGAAGAAGGGTTGTCTCCAAGGAAGCTGAATCAGCTTACACAGTTATTGTAGGTACAAGATAATGCACGAAGTGCTCCAGTTTGTAACAGCAAGGCATGACAACTGCTTACCTGAATCTATAAGTACAGTATGGTGATGGCAGCTACTTTAAAGTTAAATTCTGATATTTACAGATTTTTAGGTTTGTTATTATCTGTCAAAAGAGATGTTTGCAGGAGTGCATTGGAATGCAAGTAGCATTTGAGTTGGTTAGATCAGCTCCACAAGTTAGGTTATGTTACAGTACAAGCATACACCGCTCATCCTTGCATCAACTGGAAGAGGTATTTAGGCAGAGAAATATCTGATCCATGGCTGAACAGATATTTTAATCAGTCTCACCACTGGGTTTTTCCCCATTCAGGACTCATCTGTGCAATCCCTGAGCCAGAAATAATGCTCTTAACCTTTCATGCAACATTGCTGCCAAACTTCACTATCCGCCTTGCCAGTTAAATAAAAATTCAGGGGACTCATGATCCATCACCTAAATTAGAGCAGCAATGAGTGTGCAAAGAGTGTTTAATCTAACTGATGGCTGACCCTTGTAAACTAAATAAATAAAACCTTCCAGATGTCTTAGAAGCAGGTACTTTATTCTTTGTAACCAGGATAAACTCTTTGGCACTTTAGTCCAGCATAGTTTCCTCAGGGTCTTTGCAGACTGCTAGAAATAGTGCAAATTGAGTCCACTTTAAGGGTTAGGGTTAGGGTTAGGGAATCATGGGAAGAGCTCTCTGACAGAGAAGGCTCAATGTCTCAGAAAAAAATTCCCATGATTCCCTAGCACTAACCCTAACCCTTAATTAAAGTGAACTCAATTTGCACTATTTCTGGCAGTCTGCAAAGGCCCTCAGATGTTCTGTGGTGAAAGGTGCTAACCATGTACTTCACATTTAATGTAAAAATTTTCAGTCCTCTATTCTTCTAAGTGTCTTAAGTATCATGTTTCTTCAGAGCACTGAGGTTCCAAAATAAATATGTATATTCCAAAAGTTGTATCTTCTTATGTCTTGCATTGCTGAGAATCCACAGAGCCGTAAGGAATCAAATATCAACTAGATAATTGAATCATATTATAGACAAAATGGTTTGAGGAGAGAGGAATGTAATAGTTTGGCTAGAAATGTCAGGAATTAGATTTATTTTCCATTCAAGATTGCTTTTTAAAGGGAGAATATATTTGGAATTAGGAGCTGGAAATGCAAAAGCTTCATAGTTTAAGTGTCAGATACAGCAGGCGGAGGGAAGAACAGGTTACCAGAGCAACAGAATTGGCATTGAGTAAGTTGAACAGGTGAAGAGCTGGAGTGAGAGAAAGACATACCTGACAGAGAAATAAAATAAATAATTCATCAGAATAATGAGAAAATTATTCTCTCATAATATTCCAGGTAAGAGAGCCAGTGTGGTATAATGGTTTGGGTGTTAGACTATGGCTCTGGAGACCAGGGTTCAAAACAATGCTTGGCCTTGGAAGCCCACTAGGTGATCTTGGGCAAGTCACTATCTCTAAGCCTCAGAGGAAGGCAGTGGCAAATCCTCTCTGAATAAATCTGGCTAAGATCACCTTAGGATCACCCTAAATCAAAAATTACTAGATGGCACACAAAAATAACAAAAACAACAGCTTTTCACATACAAACAGTTGTAAAACATAAAGTAATGTGTGAAGATGAAGATAGAAATATTAGACTAAATGCATCTGAGGAAGTAGACTGAAGTCGATGAAAGCTCATGCTGCCAACTTCTTTATTTCAGTCTCAAAGACTTATTCTACAGACATGGCTATATCTTTAAATGCTACTACTGTAATGTATGTGTTGACTTCCCACTATTATCTAAAATCAGTTGTAAGCAATTGTGGCAGTGTCTTTATTGTTTGTATTGTTATTATTGTTAACTGAAGAACTAAACACCATTCAACAATGGAATAATTATCTGGGAGGCTGCTGGGCTCTCTTTCTCTGGAGGTTTTTAGACAGAGGTTGGATGGCCATCCATCCACCAGGAGTGCATTAGTTGTGTCTTCCTGCAGGGGATTGGACTTGGTGGCCCTTCCAGTGCTAAGATTCTATGATTCTATGAAGTTACACCTTTGGAAGAAATAAGAAAGAAGTCTAACTGGAGGAATATGCTTAGAAAAAGCACTAAAAGCACATCTAGCTGATCTCCTTATATGATAATTTGGTGTTAATATAAACACAGTGGGTTGTGAAATATCAAGTATTTTTGTGTTTATAGCTAGAGTTCATGTACAATGACAGATCAATGTCTGTCATTAAAAAAATACTTTAAAAACTCACTGAGCTGTACCATAAAGCTTAATTAATTAGTTAAATCTGGGGGAAAAGACATATAAATAAAAGGTACAGTAAGATTTAGAGGTTTTAATCCTTATGTTTTCTGCAGTATACCATACAATCTTTGAAACAGACTGTCACAATACTGTCTTCTTTGGCTACATAAACAGTGCGTTAATGCTTCAAAGCTGCTACTGTTTTAAAGAAGACTTTTAAATAAAAGAACCCTGCACAGGCAACCTCCCACTGTCCTTGCAGTGCTTACTGTGTCAGCTGAGCAAGAACTTAATGCTGATGTAATCTAAACAGCGAAGAATTAGAAACAGGGATGAATGATAAACCCTGGCACCTCAATGGACACCAGTCTGTACTAGGATGGCCATACTGAGGCTATATGTAGCCCAAGTACAAAACCTGATCACTATTGTTCAGTTAAAAAGAAAGAGAATGCAATTAACACAGTGGCAATTATACTGGCCTTTAAAAAGCTGGTTTAATGATTAATAAAATAAACAATATTCCAGCAAGGATGTTAAAACTAAAGGCGAAGGGGATTAGCAGGTAATCAACATTCATGCCATATTTGTGGATTCACAGTAATACTGTTGCCTGTGGAGATTTGAAAAGGCCCAATTTGCAGCACACTCTGGAAAATATATCATTCTAGAAAATTGCACAGCACTTTTCAGCAAGATGTAGAGTTAGTTGTTCTTCTGTTGGGCATTTTGAAAGTTAGGATGGAGATGAGCTTAATTTCACAGCCTCAATCAAAAAGGCTTCCTTACATAACTTGGAAAAAGACACTCTTGTTTAAAGCCAATATAGATATGACACAACTACAAAGCTACAAGGAATGGTGATGTGTTCAGTTTTTACTGGAGCACTGAAAAGGTACTTCCCTGATGTATATGCAGCCAGGATCATTGTATATTTGGTTGGTGGAATATTTAGATCAGGGGTTGGCAAGATTTACTCACCTG